AGTTTGTGGTCTGAAGGGCTGAGGGTAAAGCCAACACGTGGTGTCAGATCTAGTTCATCCTCTGAAACTCCTGGTGGACGAGTGAAGCGGAAGTGCTGCAGGAGGGTGGTGAAAAAGATGAAAAGCTCCATCCTGGCCAGACCCTCTCCAGGACAAACCCTCCGACCTGCAAGATATGACAAAGGAAAATGTTCATATCATCTGCCAATAAGTGAACATGAGTAAGAAAAGATGGCTGAGTTCAGGAACCTGCAGAAAAAGGCACGAAGGCATCTCGCTTGACAAACTTCCCATCTTTGTCCAGGAAGTGGGCAGGATAGAAGGAGTGTGGTCTCTCCCACTCAGCCTTGTCATACAGGACAGATGTCAGGAGAGGATACACTGTGGTCCCCTGCAAACAACACAGAGATTGAAAAGCATTTACATGTTAAGCAACAGGAGTCTTTGAACTCTTCACCTGTTTTGTTGCAATACTCTGCTGCTGTGACAAGAAATTAGAGTAAAGAAGAGAAGTTATTTGATCCTGTGTGTTCTGACACCCCATGGTGAATATCACAACCATCAAACCAACACCTGTTCACTCATTAATGAACAGGTATTCATTAAGATGTAAATCTATTGATTGACTCCTCTATTCTGTTGTTTTCAGTCAAGGTGGATCATTCATATTATTAGTTTGCTTCAGTCCGACCTTTTCAATGAAGTGGCCCTGGAAAGTGATGTCTTGGCTCATTTTGTGAGGAAGCGCCATTGGGATGATGTTGGCCAGTCTCTGTGTCTCATGGATGACAGCGTCAGTGAAGGGCAGGTTCTTCCTGTCCTTGACCTGCACCTGACAACTCCCTATCACCCTATTCACCTCCTCCTGGACCTGGTCTGGGACATGAAGCATTGTTTTTACAAAGATGATTTTTGTGTTGGTGAAGCACATATGGTTTCTTGGACTGATGGACTGTCGCTCTGTGAAAGCTGCTGATGTTCTGAACTTGTTACCTTGTATTTTTGGATACTTGGCCATTAGCAGAAGTCCCCATCTCAGTGTGGTTGATGTTGTTTCAGTGCCGCCATTAAAGAGATCACGGACTGTCGTCATAAGGTTTACATCATTGAAGTGACTGTTTGTAATCCCAGATTCCTGGGGGAAAAAATGAATCAGTGCAGTTACTCAAACAAATCTGATACAAAACTCTGATACTGTTACATTTGTTTACCGATTACTTTACTTTTGGCCTGAGAAGGGTGTAGACAGACAAACATGACACCTTGACCAACAACTACAAGTAACAGGGTGAAGGAATGAAGATCTGATTCCTCGCAGGCTTCCCATCACACCCTCAGCATTTTAGCAAACTAGCAAGTCAGAAGCTAATGCAATAAGCTTGGGCTCAAAAAACAGAGTAGTACAAACACTCAAACTGCTTTTTCAAAATTCGAGCAGTCATGTATTAAACAGTAAGATATTAGATTCTCGAGGATACATATCAGTATATTGTCAAGACATTTAAATGTGCATGGAGGACGTTAACCAGACAACTCTATTGTTCATACTGTATGTGCTGAAAGTAGCAACGGCCTGAAGAAACTTTAGAGTTGGTTCCATTTTGTAACATGGTATATACAGTAGCTCTTCTAATTTCTTGATCACACTCAAGGACAGACATGGGCAACTGTGGACTTGCACAGTGAACAAGAACACTTTTATACAGACTGTGAGTGGATGCAGAAACCATGAGTTTGTCTCAGCACATCCATTTTTGTGGCCACAGTCATGGCCAAAATTAATGGTGGAACTATAGTAGTAATGAAAAAAAACATTCTGATCAGCTCCATAAGTAAAAATATCAACTGTGATGAATTATATGTTTTCTGACCTCCAGATTTTGCTTTTGAACCAGAAACGCATCCACAAAACCTCTGCACATCTGTGGATTGAGGGTCTCTTTCAGCTGACTGAACAGCTCTGAGTTCTGTTTTTTGTTGGCCTCAGACAACTTCTTGAATTCCTTCTTGTTAGCAAACCATTTGCCGATCCATGGGAACATGTTGAACAACTTTTACAAACAACAACATATCAGTATGTAAAATAAAGTTTTATCAGGTAATTTAATTCAAGGCTGAAGGTCTGAGCTTAACATAAATATAAAATGATACCTGTACTGACGGTGTCCCCCCAAGTTGACTTCTTCTGTTTGTTCGATCTACCATGGATGTAAACTCTGGATCATCATATTCAAACCTGCTGCCATAGACCATGGAGCAGATTATATTAGAGACTGCATAGTTTATTGGTTGGGATGTATCAAAAGCTTCACCTGAGACAAGGGAAACAGGAAGAGTTTTGTTTAAAGCCTCACACGTTGCTTATCATGCAGGTGGTAGTAATAAAATACTTACCTTTAAATTTCTTAAACACTTCTATGAGGTAGTGAGACTCCTCAATGATCTTGTCCTCAATTACCTTCTTGCCCATCCCAAAGTCTCTCATGTTTGTCAAAGCAAAGCGTCTCATCTCTTTCCATACATCACCATTTGACCATGCAATACCTGAGATGAAGTATTTCAAGAAAATATAGCAAATAGTTACCATATTATGGGCCAAATGTCATAAACAGTTAAAAGATAATGATTTAAAAAAAGCTCAGTTTTTGTTTTTGCCTACCATGATTAAGGTCTTCTACAATTTGGAGTACATCTCTCTCTCCAAACTCTTCAGCATGGTTGACAAGTGCCTCCTTCACCGTCTTGTATCCTGCCAGGATCACCACTTTCTTGGGTCCCAAATAGACAGTGAACACTGACCCATATTTCTTGGAAAACTACGGGCAGGGATATAATGTAATGCCTTTATCACACATATGCACATTGTGATCAGTCTGTCTGAGACGCAGACACTGTCAGGTTTGCTCGTCCACTCTGGCCTCCCTCACCTTTCCTACTGTCTCTTGCCCAATTACTCTTACCACGTTCACCTGTTCCTCACTCCCTTATCACCAGCTGCACTTGATTAGGTTACTCACTATATTACCTGGTTTCACTCCTCAGTCACTTGCCAGTTCGTTCTAGTCTCTAGGTCAACTTTACTCTGTGCGTTTTCATTGTTTTGTATGTATTTATCCCCTAGCCAGCTACTGTTTTGTGTTTTCCCCGAAGGACTGTTGCTCCACTCTCTCCTCCCAGGCAGGTCAATGCACAGTCACCTATTTGTTCCACTATTGCCTTAATCTCTCTGTCTCTACCTTCAGTAACCACCATCACCGCCGACCAGCCCAGGAGTGACCCAGCCTATGCAGCTTGGCCCAGCTCTCCATCTCCTCACCTCCTGCGGTTGGTCAAATACCCGGCTACTACTCATTGACAGGACTACGTACTATTTCCCTCTGTGTATTGTTACTCCCTTCATCACTGTATATAACAAATCACTGCATGCACCGAAGTCGGCTACCTGGGTCCGCCTCTTTCTCGTTCGCACACTGACTGCGAACGGCACCTAACAGACACAACAAACTGCCCTACAACACAATTTACTACAGTCACTTCCTCACCTTCAGTAACGTGTTGTATGGTCTCTGTAAGTCCAGTTGCAGCAGGTTACCGAGCAGAGGAAACAGTTTTGGTCCAGGAGGATCCATCCTGTGTTCCTGGGATTTGGGTCTGGAGTAGGAGATGATGTAGAGAAGAAGCAGAACCACCAGAGCCCCCAGCAGGGAGACAGAACTGAAGGACTGGAAAAGAACATCTACAATCCCCATGACTTTAAAAACAGTCTTTCTACTTATGCTGCCAGTTCACTGCAGACAAAGTCTCTTGTCTTCTTGCTTTTGGCTTTGTGGGTGTGTTTGAGGCTTTATATATGTCTGTTATACAGGGTGGGCCACGGAAAAGTAGCAAGTGGATTGTTTTGGAGGTGGGCTACTTTTCCTTGGCCCACCCTGTATATTGTATTGTCCAATAGATGGGACATACTGTGAAATATTAACCACAAAAAAGCTTAAAACTTGGCACTGTTACAGTATGTCCTTTCCATTCAGTGTCCTTTTGTGGTTACTAAATGCAGCTGTGTGACATTCTTCACTGTTTATCTGTTTTTCTGCTCAAAGAGACAGAACACTTCATTCTTGTGTTCTGCTGAGATTGATGTCACCTTGCCCTCATTTGGTGCCATATTGACACCAGTGATTTAAGACTGAAAATTAATCATTAGATCCTGTACTTTTCCCCAATCCTGATTTTAATAAATGATAATACACAAAAAAAATATTATGCTATTAGCCAGTTGTTTTACTATAAGATAGGGATACATATTTACAAAGACAATGAACTTCAGATATTTGTCTTTAATGTTTCTGAATAAACATTAGTTAAAAAAATATTGGTGTATGTGTTCTATAGGTAATTTTGGTCAGGAACATTTATCTCTTGTTTGACAAATAGTTTTTTAAATCTTTGGTTTTCCAATAAATAAACAAGTAAATAATATTTCTCATGTATAGATTCATTTGGAACCCAATAAAACCATAGTATTTCAAAAGGTAAACATTGGGTAATTCTTATCAGACACATTAAAGGGAGGAGAGAACTGGAGAAGAACATCTAGTATCCCCATGACTTTAAAAACAATTTGTCTTTATCCTGCCAGTTCAATGTCGGGTTTGGTGAGTGAAGCTGCCAAATAGTGTCTATAGTGAACTCAATTATAATGCCAGATGTACACAGGTAGAGTATAGTTACTTTACTAGCCAAACAAAACAAAGAGAAAAAAGTCCAGAATCCAAAATAAGGTCACTAATACAGTCCAAGGTCAGTGCCGGCAAACACACACATCTGAGGGATTCACAATTGCGAGGTGTGAGAGGAGTTATCTGAGGGTCGCTACAAGCAGGTACTCAGAAACTGGGGGGATAAGGCAAAGTATGGTGGTCAAATAAGCAATCTGGGGTCAGAAAAAGAGGGTCAGGCACAAGAATAATCGCTGGAAAGTCAGAGCTGGGGTATAGAACAATTTGGAAGCTTTCCGGTGGAGGGAAAGCTGCTT